ACATACTTAAGATCCATTTTCACATCATGTAACAGCTACACACACATACTTAAGATCCATTTTCACATCATGTAACAGCTACACACACATACTTAAGATCCATTTTCACATCTGTCACAGCTACACACACATACTTAAGATTCATTTTCACATCATGTCACAGCTACACACACATACTTAAGATCCATTTTCACATCTGTCACAGCTACACACACATACTTGAGATCCATTTTCACATCATATCACAGCTACACACACATACTTAAGATCCATTTTCACATCTGTCACAGCTACACACACATACTTGAGATCCATTTTCACATCTGTCACAGCTACACACACATACTTAAGATCCATTTTCACATCTGTCACAGCTACACACACATACTTGAGATATTCTAACTTATTTGATAGACATAAAAAAACATCTAACAGGTTCTGTGTCCTTAGCTAAGGGATCAATAACTAAGGATGTCAGATTACTTTCTAAATAATTTCTACATCTTTTTCCAGCCTCACAGAATTAGTGTTCGGTCTGTCACATCATCAGGTCATCATTCACGAGATGCAGCCTGTACCATAACTGTGGGTAAAGGTCAGTAATTGAGAAGCTCATATGAAGTTACATAAATTCCCTAATAGTTAGTGTTCATAAAGTATAATGTCATCTTGTTCCTTATATTTTAAGTATATCAGCCCAATACAAACAAAACATTTATAAACCAATTTTATGTTTTTAAGAAAATACAATGAAAATTGACTTTTTTTTTATCAAAGCATCTAATCTATTTAGGAAATGTTACAATTTTTATTGCATTGAAAAGTTTAGTGTTGCTACTACATTCTGTGCAGTATATGATTTATTTATGTTTCTATCTTTTAATAAGGCTATACTTTTTTTACAACATTTAACATAGTCCTTCCAGTACCAGAAAGCTTTCAACTGTCCACCCACTGTTATCACTTTTTACATTAATAAAATTAATTTGAATTGGATTTTTTTTTTTTTACTTTAAATGCAAGTAACACCTTTCAGTATTTCCCAAAATATTCCAAGGGTAAACTATTCCAATGTTTAAAGGGGCAAGATTTTAGAGTTAATCTGTTTTATTCATCCGTATGAACAACAGAGCTGTAATATAAACGTAGAATTAAAGAGAATACAGTTAATGAACCAGTTTTATTGATAATATATTACTAATCGTGATGTTTGAAGTCTGAAACTTAAAGTAAATTAGCCGATATCAACTTTGGATTTCCTAATACTGATATAGTTTGCAGAGTAAACTTCAAAGCAGTTAGCAAACAACTAGATGGGAGATTCCTCAGTGTGCAAGTATGTCTCAGATGTGTTCATGGTTTGTGTCCCTCTGTGGCAAAATTTCATTTGTCACCTTGTGGTACTTTATTACATTATGAATGTGACTATCAAAGGTATTGCCTTTCCTCTTGTCTGTCAGTTCAAATTAGGTAATTTGAGTTTGCTATCGTAAAAATATTCCATAACAAGTCCATGCCATTGAGATGATAAACTTTCAACATAGCTGTAAAAATATTTTTGTTTATTGTTACGAAGGTTCCAAAAAGTGATGGAACGCCATTCCAGTTACCAAAATGAGCACTGGGATGACATTCTATTCACCTCCAGTGATTTTTCAAAGCCCGTTCACCTGGCAGTGTTTCACTCCAGCTATGAGTTTACTGATTTGGTAAAAGAACAAAACAATTGGGTTTTGAAGTTATTTAAATAGAAATGGTTGAGTTCTGAATTAGTGGTAAAAATATTCGTTGTATGGCAGAACCAAAATGTTATTTTGGTTTTAATGTTTTTATACAGTTAATTATTTTATAGAAGCATAAGTAAAATTTAAACATACAACAGAATGAGAAACTGATTTTAAAGTTGAACATAGATGTTAAAAGAATGAAACAGTTAATAATAACCAATACTAACTGAGGTTTACATCCAGTGCAATGATGCACGTACATATAAGCTAGTTCACAAGTATTTCATTTGTATCTTCTTCCAAATACTTCAGTATTTAATTGGAAAATATTTCCTTTTTGTACTAGCTTTACTTGAATATTATGTTAGTCCTTGTTGCTTTTTTGTCTTCCATAGATATTCCATTAGCCCCCAGCTGTGTTAAGGCTTCTAATTTAACTTCTACATCGGCAGTGATTAGCTGGTTGCCTAGCAACAGTAACTTCACCCATGCAATAGCAGTCAACAATGTGGAGATTCGAGTTGTGAAGCCAGCAATATTTAGACATACTATCACAGGTCTGAATGTAAAGAGTTATCTTTCTACGGAAACTTGTAACATAGACTTGTTCGTCTTTCCAAATAAATTGTTTTAATGATTTAGAATTCTACATTTTAGATAATAATGATAATAGTTTTGATTTTATATATCAAATCATTTATGACTTGGAACACCTACCAATCAAAAAATTTAATATCCTGTTAGCCCAGGAATGTTTACAAGTATTGTTTTCAGGCTCATAATTGAAGTTATGTTTTTATCTATTAGACATTCTCTGAAAAAGATGGCTTAAAAGTTTCTACTACAGTTCTATAAATCAATAGTTTAGGTTTGTTACTCATAAACTATTTAAAGTATAAGACTACGTTTTAGTTTAAACTTAAATTTTGAACATAGGTTTCATTTTAAAATTGGAATAAATACTATTATGTGATCACTAAGCTACATGTCTAATTAATTCAACTTGTGAATTAAGTATCAATTTAAGCAGTGATTTCATGCTTCGCAAAAACTTTTGTCAAATTAACTATTTAAGTAAATGGCATTTTGACCCTTTCTTGCACTTTTTGTACTTGACACAAGGTCACATCTCAATAAAATATATGTTGTATGATCAGAACCAACAAATACTTGAAATTTTAACACGCTGGTGTCAATAGAAGAATCGGCTTTGACTTTGTATGATCAAACTTTCTATAATTCAGTTTATGCTGAAAATCTAGTACAGACTAAACTGGCTGGTCTAAAAGTTAAAAATACAATTAATTTTTATAAAAATAAATCTCTTCCTGATGGCTTGACAGTGAGCTGAGGCTTATAATGCTAAAATTTAGAGTTTGATACTTGCAATTAACAGATTGTGAGCTTTGTGTTTAACAATGAACAAGAGATGGGTTAGAGGCTAGTGTGCTGGAATATGAATTCCAAGGTTCTACATTCATATTCCATTACCACAAAATCATGCTCCACGTCTGCATTATAAGAATGATTGTTAAATCCTACTATTTAATTAGAGTAGTAAGCCTAAGAGTTGGCAGTGCATGCTGCCGAGTAGTTACCTTTACTTTATCTTACCCATTGAAAGTTAGGAATGGTTAACACACCTAGCCCTTGTGTAGCTTCACATGAATATCCAAAACAAATAAACAATCAATCGATTAATTTTGTTTTCAATATATTTTATAACTAGCTGGTGTATCCGTCCCCTGGATGGAAGTTATGTAAATTCATGATTAATGAAAGGTTATCTTAGGACATGAAATGTTGCTTCCCTTATATGTAATTGTAAAAAATGCCCATAAAAACTGCAAAACGCAAAACTAAAAATTTGTATGTATCTTCCCATGGACCCAGTGAACCTCCATACCAAATTTGGTGAAAATCCATCCACAGGAGGTGAGGTAGTGGTAACAAAACACAAAAATGCCCATAAAAACTGCAAAATGCAAACTGAATATTTGTATTATCTCCCCATGGACCTAATGAGCCTCCATACCAAATTTGGTGAAGATCCATCCACACCCTGCGAAGTAGTTACATGGACAGAAAACAGCAGTACTATTATATTTATATAGATATAACATATTTTAATGTTATCATCTTCACTATAGAAAAAGCTTAATTCGTAATATGTCTGCTTCATTGTAGAATTAATAACTTATTTTGAGTACTATATAAATTTAATATAAGTATTATGAGTAGCTGACTGTGTTTGGATTTTTCCATAGGCTTAGCTCCCAATACATTATACAGAGTTTCTGTTCGTGCCAAACCAGGGAAGCTTCTATACAATGCAGAAAAAAATCCTAATAAATTAGCAATGCTATCAACTTTTGTTGACTTTCGAACTCTTCCAAAAGGTATTTAAAGACTGTTTTTATATATTCCAGTGAAAAATATGAAGCTATTTTCTTGTGAACTGTATTCTATGTTGTTTGTTTTTTAAATCCATCACTTCCATTGCTATGGATCAACCTATTGAAGCAATATATAAGTTTCTCAGGTTCACTTGATTTGTTGAATCCATGATTAATTTTTTTATGAGCTAATTTCTGGACACTAAAAATTAATTAAACTTCAATTAGAACTTATTTAAAGAGTGCATTGAAATTATAGTGTTAATTCCATTTTCTAAAGTTATTTTTTTTAAAGTTTTATTTAGCCTAATCATTAATTAGAGTCATTGTTATAATACTTATTTTCATATAAATTTCTTTCTTCTGTACCGCTTTTTTTATTTTAATTTCAATGAACAAAGGAGTGATAACTGTTCTCAAAATGACCCACATTCCAAAATTCAGACCTTTAATAATGTCTGAACTTTTTAAGACTTACTTTTATATGTTCATACGTATAGTACATACCTATCCTGTTCATTATTTTTCTAAATATTTAAATTTTGGTAAATGTGTCAATCTGTCTACCTATTACACAGTTAACAACATAACAGAAAAGTACTTGATGACATGTAGCTGGAATAAAGTTTTATGGGAAAAACAGCAATTGATTATAAATTTCAGTAGCCGTGTTTCTTTCCATTTCAATTCCAGTGTTTTATTCTAAAATCCTAAAATGTTGGGATAATTTGATCATATCTACATCTTTGTAAAAGAACCAATGTTATAATTTATTGAAATTGTAACAACATTGTTTTGTTATTGTTAGGTCTTCCTGATCCACCAGTTGATGTTCAGATAGAGGCAGGGCCTCAGGACGGAACACTATTGGTTACTTGGCTGCCAGTCACTATCAATCCAAATGGTACGTCCAATGGAGCACCTGTGACAGGTTATGCTGTTTTTGCTGCTGGAAAAAGGGTTACAGAAATTGATAGTCCAACAGGTTGGTACTGTTTGTGCACATTTATTTTCAAAGTAAATATCTTGAATCGAAATATTTTTGAATTTTGAAAATAAATTTTTATATATATTACATGGTAGTTTAATCTTACCTGACTCGTTCGTATACTATACTATTTTACAGTAGCATTTTGTCTACATTATTACTCTTTACGTAATGAGAAGAAACGACAAGTTATTTTGTAACATCAAGAAATCCTAATTATTTTTTAATTATATTGCATCTGGACGTAGAATTGTTTATCTATTTGTGTATATTCACTTTATTATCATTATTTATCTATTTATTTTAATTGTAAACACATAAATTTAGCTTTCGTCAACTTGTATATAATTATACGTAATTGAAATATTTTGTTTTTATTTTGCCATTTAGTTCTTACTTCATTAAATTTAAGATTCATGTAAACACAAAGACTTCGTATGTAAGGAGATTTTTACACTGGTTGTTAACTAATATAAGTTTTACTTGCTGGTAGGGGACCATGCCTTGCTAGAAATCAAAGATCTCTTTCCTCTTGATAAGAAAAATGTGACTGTTAGAACAAAATCGGGAGATAATCTATCATCAGATTCTATGCCATGTGCTGTTCCAGAAGATCTTATCAGTACTTCAACTCAGAAGGCAAGTTTCATTTAATAACTTCGGAAAAAAATATACATGATAATATGCTCCTTGAAGAACCTAAAACATTACACAAAAATACACATGATAATATGCTCCTTGAAGAACCTAAAACATTACACAAAAATATACATGATAATATGCTCCTTGAAGAACCTAAAACATTACACAAAAATACACATGATAATATGCTCCTTGAAGAAC